TAAGAAATCAATGGGGGGGGGGGGTGATTTATGGGCAGAGGCTCAACAAAAATGGGGGGCCTACACAATTCATGGCTCTGGATAGGGGTTGTCCACACAAAAAACTTACCTTTTGCATCCCCCAACTCGGAGAAGGGGTGCTGATGTCCGCCGGCATTTTTTACTTATGTGGAATGCCAATGTAAAACTAATTCAATGATATTTAATTATTGTTAAAAGACTTTTAACAATCACTGCAGTGTTTTGTATTGATCATCATACTACTGTTGTGTGTTGACAATCGCTTGATATCACAATGACAATGCCTCAGACAACTATAACTTCACGACTTCATGATCAATGGATGTGATTTTCTTCCCGTAATGTATTTGTGGCGTAATTATATCTTTGTGCTCACAAAAATGTATACACTGGCTTCCCATTCATTTTTACACCATGCCCCGAGGGATCACATACAATGTTATAATTATCATGCCCCCCCCCCCCCAAAAAAAAAAAAACCAAATTTTTTTTGGGGGGGGGGGGGGGGGGGATAATTTCAAATTAGCTACCCTTTCTATGCCTATTAAGAGTCCCAATCATAGGATAAAACTTTAACAATTAATAAATATAATTGCATTTCAATATGTGGGGGGGAAATAAAGTGGTAAACTTTAAAAATAAATCATGGTTTAACATTACACCCCCAGCCCACTCCCTTCCAATAAATAATAAGAAATGCTCTACAAGTACTATGCCACATAAGTTATAAGCGTGGATCTTACTGAAAAGCTTCCTCCCAAGGTACTCAACGATTTTAAATAAATAGTTTCCAGTTTTAACAAGAGTATAACATTAAATCTACAACTACAAGTACCAATTAGGCCAAAAAGTTTAAGACTCGCAAAGACCATGGTTTTGCTACTTTAAATCGCTGCGGTGTACGCAGGCCACAGACAATGATTTAGTTAGGTACACCGCCGCGGTGTACGCAGGCCAAAGTCAATAGTTTCGCTACGTACACCGCTGCGGTGTACGTATACGACGTAGTGCCGGCCTTCATAAAATATGTGAGCCTATAATGATATATGATAATAACTCTCTATGCACTCTAAACCTGTAATGTGATCATGTGTAGGTCTGAGTCTGGCACTTCAACATACCCCATTAGAGTGAGAGGGTGTTTAAATTGTGTGACAATATTTGAGAAAATGGAGGGTTCTAACTTCTAAACAGCGTGAAGTCAGTTATTGTTATGAATGAATGGCCCCAATGACAATGATATGTACCGGTATGCATCTTTTGATCTTAAAGTAAAATATTTTTGAAAATATTGGTAGTTTAAGTTCATGACAATAAATATTAATAATATCAATTAATAAATAACATTTTTTATTCTTAGAATTTCTAAAAAGTGACTAAAGTTAAGTAAATTTAAGTTATAAGTTTCAGTTTTCTTTTAAACTGATTTATTTACCCTTCAGTTCTATATTATACTTCAGCATTGAATTGTAGTTAGACTTCAATGAATAAATTAGCTCAAAGGGGTTATACGGCTGCGGTGATAGGCCCCCTACTCTTCATTCCATTTTAATTATGGACTGGTCATGGATGCAATCTGAAACGTCAACCGTCAACATTGGCATGTGCAACTGTGCAATGCGTGAATTCAATGACCCGGATACATATCCCGCAGGTGTCAGGTGACAATCATTGAATCAAAACTCGTACTTCGATTATGAAAAAAAAGTTAAATAAACCTACTTCGACTAAATAGTCTCACGATCTTAATATCACAGCTAATTATAAATGACCTTTTATTTGCATTTTTAAGTCATTATTTCTGGACTTAGCGCCATTCAAAAAGAATGTACGCGGTAAAAGAGATGTTAAGATATAATTTTAACTGAGTAATTTAAAAGTATCACAACAACACAGTTTTCATTGTTTTTCTCATAACTTTGAAGTAGCCAAATTTCTTTTTAAAAAAACGCTTTTTATAACTAACAAACTAGTAAACATTTGTCGCGAATGTCACTCACACACACATTTATGGCGCAAAATCCTGTACGTAGAATTAGTTTTTGAACAGCATTTTAGTGTTTATTGCCTCCTCCTTATGATCGTACACAGTGGCCACTGGCATAGCGAGACAAGGTGCCGCCAGGGGCGGATGTCCCCCCCCCCTCTTCCTACGCCACCGATCACATTCCAGGAAAGCAATCATCAACAAGAACATACTCAAGTTGTTACGTAAATTTACAGACAAGTCATTTTACGTCAGTTATTTTTACGGGCTGTTCGTAGATTCTCGGACGGTTGGCAGTCCTGACTTGACCATTTACTGACACTTTCAGCTGTCTGGGTTGAGAGGAAACCTAGACCCACTGTCTGGGTTGAGTGGAACCTAGACCCACTGTCTGGGTTGAGAGGAACCTAGACCCGCTGTCTGGGTTGAGAGGAAGAAAGTGGCAAGGCAGGCCAAATCCCTACACGGGCTGTACTGTAGTTAAGACAAACGGATAGATTAAGATGTTTGGAAAATTGAAAAAAAGCTCAACCTTGGTTTCACATATGATGACGCCAAGTATGTCCTATTAGTATAAAAATCAAGTCTGTCCCGAAACAAGTTTAATTAGGCCTACATTAAATTGCATATTAAAAATGTTTTATTAAAAAGTATACCAAAAGGTTTTTTACTCGGATTCAATTGTGTTACATCTTTGATTTCGGCACTGAATATAACCTGTTGGCATAGACGCTAAAATACTTCCGGTCTTCAAGATCAATGAAAACGAAATGAATACAAATACAACCCATATTGGGACTTAACTGTTAACTCAATAGTGCAGGGGTTAGTGCAAACGATTTTTTTCTATAAATAGACCTGGCTAGTGCATCGTAAATAACGAAGTCACCACGCCTAGATTTCAGCAATAAAGTCTAAGTCTAACTAAGCTCTAACTCTAAGTCTAATCTAAATAATTTAATAATAGTAGTCTCTAAGTAGTAGTAATAGTCTAACGGACTTAAACGATAACAATAACTACTACTACTAGTAGTCTACTGCTGCTTAAACTTTTAGCAAAGAATAATTGAATAATAAAGGTAAAAACTTCAGATTCTACATCAAAAGTCAAAATGGCAGATAAACAGTACAATCTGAAATTTGGTGGCACTAGCGGAGCTTCTGTTGATGCATATTTAGAATACAGACGGTAAGAACAAATTTAATAATTTATTAGGCCTCACATATTATATGCCCATACTATATGACAATAATATAAAATGCATATTTCATTATTTGCTTTATTTTTTCATAGATAATATATATTATATATTTGTTCCTATGCCTACTGAATGACATTGTTATATTAATTTTAATAAGTGTAGTGTGTAGGTCTGCTACTTAACCCACGAACTGTGGCATAGATCATTCTGGGAGCTTTTCAGAGCTTTTTGAGTGCCTTTTGAAATAGCATTAAATGACATAGAAATATTGATACAAGACCCCAAAGTCCAAAGGGGCCTTCAACAAAAGTGGCAGTGGAGATGTTTAAACAAGGGGGAAAGGGGGTAGATTAGTAGACGTCAAGAATCATGTTTTCTATATTAAAATTTTAATCTTAAAAATTGAGTGGTTATTACATTATTTTAAACAATTTAATGACTGTAAATAGTCATATAATTTTTAGGTGTCTCGTGCAGTTAAGATAAATGATATTGTTAGAGTAAAAATATGATATTTTGAGAACAAGGGAAAAGTAAAGTGAGTAACAATAATAACATTGCTGCTTTAACATATTTGCAAAATCTGTAACATCTATTTTGCATTACAAGTCATGTTGAAAAAGCATGTTCAACAGCACTGACAATGCCCTCTTCAGCATAAAATATTACTACTCTGCTACTCAACAAAAAAGGATTTGACCAATACGAGTAGCTGCAAGGAGACAAAGAGAGCTTATGGCAATTTTTGTTCACACAGACAATGCTTCTATTTTAAGTGCTGAATGATTAGATGAGGAAGATGTTGACTTGTCTGTTATATCAGTTCCGCAAGATGAAAATGATCAATAAGGTATTATAGACTATGCCCATTAGGGGCGTCATTTCATGGCTTTTTTTTGGGGGGGGGGGGGGGGCAAAACCAAAACTTGGTCGGCTTGTTAAGTTGTTTATTACTGGAGGCGCCAAAGTACATAGCAATTTAAACAAAACCTGCAAATTTAAGGTGGGAGGCCAAATGCCCCCTTGCCCTACCCAAAGGATGTCCCTGATGCCCATTGTTATGATAGAGCAACACCTGGCTACTCCATGGGAAGATGATAGCAGCTACAAATTATACTATAATTGCCAGCTTTACTGACAATAATCACATTTATACCACAAACAATGATATTTAGTCTCTAACAACCTTTTCATTGATTCTGCATTATACAATTTAAGTGTAAAACCTTTTTAACTTGTTGATTAACAAGCCAAACATGTAATAAAATGTTTTTCCTACAATTTTGTGTCATTAAAATAGATCAGCATAAAGTAAAATGTATTTATTAATTTATTTATATTATAATTTTTAAAAAAATTTTTTTTTGGCGTGGAGGTTTATAAAATGTTGACATAATTAAATAGGGGGTTCTCACTGAAAGTTTGACAGTTGTTGACAAAGGGAAGGGAGGGGATCAAAAATTGTGTAAAAATTGTTGACGTAATTAATGGACGACCCGAATAAGTATATATTTTTAGAAAGGTAAATGGATAGGGATAAAGTTGGCTAGGTTAATGCAACAAATGGATGCCATGACGCCATTTGCATGTTTATTAAAGTTTCAGTGAATTAGGGTTCAGGTTAGGTTTAGGGATACATTTAGTTAGGTTTGGTGACAGAATTAACTGGTTGTGTCAACAAAGATGGCAGCCATGGGGAAAAAAATGGCATCCATTCTTTGCATTTACCGCTGTCTATATTGCCCACCCTGTTAAAAAATTTTGTTCAGTGTCCTTGACCTTGGAGTGCTCAAGGAAAAAAAAGTGACAAAATGTCTTGCTTTCAAGTATACATATTATCATTAATTTTTATAGATTCCATTAAAACGCAATATTTTTTTTCTGTCAGCCAATTCATTTATCTTTCAGAAAATGTATAGTATGCCAAGGTTTCGATTACAATTAAGCCTCTGAAAGCAATTTTAGTAATTTTAGATCATTTATTACTGAAACAAATAAGAAACTGGGACCACAGCTAAAACCAAGTACAACATAAAAAAATCTCGGACAAAAAAGTTATTATTGACAAGTAAACATTTAAAAAGGAACTGTGGAACTAATTTGGGTTGTCTAACTATAATATTTATTAGTTCTGATCTATAATATGTAGCTTCTGTGACTAAAATTCAGTTAGTCCTTGCCCAACCTCCAGGGCCTGGCTCAAAGTCTAACAGCAGGCTTACTTCAGTATTACTAGGCACTAGGACTAGTATCGGATTCACTAGAAGTTAGAAGAATCCAAAATGAGATCGTCATGGTGAATGTTAAAATCATTAGCAGTATCACTTAAATTCTCTCCTAAAAAGCTTTCAAAAATATTTCTATTAGTTCTCGTACTAAAGGCCCAGTCATAGCTTCATCCATTTTAGCTTTAAAAAAAAACATCAACATAAAACTCTGATTAAAAGGTACTTATTGATTAAGTTATCAACAAACAGCTTAACCCGGAAGATGATTTAATTACCGGTATTAATAAAAGGAAGGGGTTATAATTTCAGTGCTTTTTATAGGCCAATTTTTCGGCCATCACAGTACAGAACAAAAATATTGGCCATTTTTTACGGCAGACTACAGTTCGTGGGTTAAAGTTAATGTACTAAAAGAATTGTGAATAGTACATACTTAACTTATTGTTTGACCCTCGAATGCAAAGGTCACCAAGGCTTCGACTTGAGTAGTAGCCTTGACTTGAGATGTATTTTGTTTAAAGTGAGGGAGAGTTGCTCAATTCGTCAGCCTCACTATTTTATCCTTGCCATTTTGTTCAATGGCAAGACTTAGTCCAGACGATTGGAAATAGACCAGGATGCAGCAGATGCCCAGCAGTGCTTCTTGTGTCTCACTGTGCTCTTTATGTGTTCCACATCACAAGAGTTGTTGGAATTTTCAATGTGTCAAATGTCATACTGCCTACTGCAGTGCAGTGGCATAGCTAGGGTTGGTGTCACCCGGTGCGGTAACTTGTGGTGTCCCCCCCCCCCAAACTTCCATGATGGATTTCTTCTTCTTGTTAAAATAAGTCCAGAGTATAACAATGACAAGAACAAAAACACATAAATCGAAGGTCATGAGGTCAATGCATTTAAAAACTGTAGCAAACCCCCAAACTTCCATGATGGATTTCTTCTTCTTGTTAAAATAAGTCCATAGTATAACAATGACAAGAACAAAAACACATAAATCGAAGGTCATGAGGTCAATGCATTTAAAAACTGTAGCAACATTAAGTTATAGTTATTTTTACATAAAATTCACTTTATTGAAAATTTTCCTTTCCTTGTCTTCAAAGATGCAAATCTGTCTTAATCACTTGTTCAAAATCCATATCCTTAACTGTATCACTTCCAATTGATAGCAGAGCCACATCAGAAAGCCTAGACTGTCCCATGGTGGATCATACATTTTTCTTGATAAGCCTTAGTTTTGAAAAGTTCCGCTCACATGAAGCCACATACACACATATCATAAGAAACAATTGAAGGCTTAGCGAGAGTACTGGAAGAGATTCTAGGAAGTCTCATTCACCTATGAACTTAAAAACATCAAATCCTGACCAGTCCATGACTTTGTGAAATTCAATATCAGCTGCCTTTAGGTGTTTTCTAAGCCTTAATATTTCTTTTAAAAGCTCATCTTCTGATAATTCAATATTATTATAGAAAGAGGTTAATTTTGGAACGGACATCAATAACTCTTCTTCACTAGCAAATAGTAGAATCTTCGGTTGAACAGCCCCAAACATATCTGCTGCTTTCTTGATAGTAGATGATCTGATGGGGGGTCAGAATAAAAGCTATCAATACACTCCAGCATTTCCATACTGTTTTCTTCAGGCAGAGAGAGTCCAGCATCTATTAACTGTTCTCCTGCCATTCTCTCCTTAAACCTTAATCTTTTTTCTACAAAAATTCCATATTTGTCTTATTTTAAAAGTGCCTTTTCAATAGCATGTTCCACCAAGTTACAGCACTTCTTGTTGAGAAAAAATCTTGAGGCCTCTAGGTTGGTCACCACTTTGTCTAGGGTAAAACCTTTGGTCTGCAAATACTGCTGTATAAGATTTACTTCCTCAAGTAGATGACACCAAAATGAAATGTAGAAGATAAACAACGTGAAATCACAGACAGCATGTAAAAGACCTTGTGCTGTATGTCAATAGTGCTTAAATGTTAAGGGGCGGTGCTAGTGGCGAATTGGCGAAATATTTATTTTTGATTATTTCTTGGTGTTAATATATTTTGATACAAAAGCCTTTTTTTTACATTTAAATAAAAGAAATGAGAAAATTTTGTAAAATATTATTTTGTTAACTCTATAAATGGGTAAAATGTAATTTTTGAAAGTGTTTAATTGTTACCGATTCGATTCATGTACTGAGAATTACTCGACCACATCGTATTGGGTATCAATGGAAAGCTTTATTTCTCAGAATTTAGATAAAATAGCTTCCTGTCACTCACGAAAGTTACCGAACACTTCAATCCTAGTGAAAACGGTGTTTGTCTGACCTAACTATAGAGTCATCCCATTTATGAGGCATCAACCTTGAACTTTTACTTTAGCATGCATGTGGATTGCTTACGTGTGTGGAAAATTTACATGTTATTAGTTATCCTTTTATGAAATTCAATTAGACCGAGCAGGTTTTTTTCCTCTGTAAATGTGCAATTTTTCAATTGGGTGTCACCCCTAAAATGGTGTCACCCGGTGCGGTCCGCACCCCCCTCGCTACTCCACTGGCCTACTGGACTCCATCTCCGGGTTTGATGTCAGTCTGTCTACTCTTAGATAAGTTGCCATCAAAGGTTAACGAGTTCCATCCACCCGGGGGCCGGTGTTGTTTTAGCTTGTGTAGGCCTTTGCTGGGGATTGAACTTCAGTCGACAAGCTTGAGAGTGACTCAGTTTAGAACACACTACATCAATCATGGCCTATGTTACATATGATAATGAGTAATAATAATAAGGTTACATACAAGGCTGCCAATTTAAAATAGCTGAAATTAAAATTTAAAACTTTCATGAGCCTAACAGGTAACCTGTTGATACACATGCAGTAGTGCTCTTGGTTCTTAGTTTTGAACTAATTTGTGTTGAAAAATAAATAAAATTAGCATGCAATTAAATGCTAGTCCCTTTGGCACAACACAAAAAAGCAATCTTCTCTACCTTAGCCTTAAGAGTAACGAACATGAAATCATAGAAAGCTCATTAGTTTCATTAAGCAGTCTCATTACTTTTTAAAAGTTATAGATAACTTTTCTCTAGTCAAGCCTGAGGCTAATATCAAAAGTTTAAGATTCAATATTTTAATGTTTGCAATTTGAATGGGCCTATAGAGTAGAACATGATATATTTTTCAGAGACTGGGTCAAAACTTTTGTAAAATAACATCAATATTTTTGTGTATAAATATCAAATTGAATTATTTTCAAAGCATTGTGGGAGATGATGATGGAGGACAAATGTTCACACCAGAGGAATATGAGGCATATAAAAGGAAAGTTATACCACAGGTAAACATTTCTTCATTGTTCTTAACAATAAGGAAGTCAATACCAGCCGTCCATAGAGAGTATGGTCAAAATATATCAAATTTTTGCTCTTTATTGATTTGGTACAAATACCTTTAGTTATTAATTCTGAATAATCAAATATATTTATCATTTTGTTTTTGAAGGTTTTAACACATTGATCTTAAAACATTAAACTACAAATTGAATATTACAAATTTTTGCTTTGTGATGCTGAATAAATTTTTCATTTTATCTCTTCAACATTCATACATGAACATAAAAGAAAGTTGTACATAAGAAATGTAACAGCATTGTGTATTTTTGTAGGTGAATGTTACTATTACAGTCGCACAATCACAAAGTCAAAAAAAACAAAAAAACAGCTAATCTTGTTTAAATACTAAACCAGCAGTTCCAAGCCATAGAACTTTCAGGGGACCACATCTGAGTTGAAGGCCACCATCAGATTTTAACAGCTTAGTGACTTTAAACTAAATTAAATTATGACCAATGAAGGAATAGATATTCAGTAATAGTGACAGCAACAGAACAAGGATAAGGTATAAATAAGTAAATAAAAGCTACATTTTTTTTCGTACAATTTAGTAGTCACAATGAAAGTACAAATCCATTCATTGAAACACTTGTTCTTGCATTTCATATTAAAGTTTTTAACATTACATTATTGGCCTCACAGATGTTGTCAATTATAATTTCTTTCCCAAATGGCTGCTTTGATTACACAAACTTTATATATTATATCATCTACTTTTCATTGCCTGTAAACGAGGATCTGAGGAAAATTTCAAATGTAATGTGTGGTCCTTGTTCATCCATGTTTTCTTTTCTTTTTCTTTTGAGGTCTCAACAAATTAAAATCGAATTTGTTAATGAATAAATGGCATTTATAGCTTATGCCCAGCAAAATATCTTAATGCACTGTTTAGATTTTTTAATGAAAATATAACAGGTTAAAAACAATTCTCCACAGCTTTCAAGTCAAATCAGTTTGTTTGTTAAGGGTGTGCAGTGTGGAGTCACAGTTATTTCATAATCATGAAATGTTTTTCTCTTTCATTAAAGCGCATCAAAAATCGCCTTTACACATGCTACACCAGTCCTTCTGGCATGGACTGTAAGCTTATTGGGCCTGAAACACCTTGTTTTTGCACACACAGGTACATTGGTTTCTGTCTTAATAATTCATTTATTGTAATTGCTATTTGGAAAATAATCAAAATGTTACTTTTTAAGCAAGCAACAAGTCTCTGTAAATGTGTTAGTCTAGTTAGATTATACAAACTTTGCAGGAGACACTAAGAACTTAATTTTAAAATGAACTTTGAAAACATTTAGTTAAATCATGTCTCAGAAAATTTATTTTCAGTAATGCAAGTTTTAAAATATTTTTTACATGACTTGGAACTTAGTCAATTTGAAAAAAAAAATTATTTTGAAAAAATTTAACAACATGTTTAGAAGGAACAGTGAAGTATTGCAACTTTTAACTTTTCTTTTTTCTCATATTCTTTGATGAAAAGTTATAAACAGAGAAAATACATTAGTTTGATAATTTGTTTTTTTTCCTCTCTAGGTACAAGCAGCACAAGACTGATTTTGAAGAGATTCCAAAAGAGAGACCAATCCATCTGCCTTGTCGAGTATCTGGCTGCCCCTGTGCATCATATCACTATGTTCCAACCAATGGGAGCCAGTGCATTCGTTGTGTGTGCAAACACTTGGCGGATGAACACAATCCTAAGGCTCCATTTGTTTGTCGTAGAGGTAGGAGAAGTTAAGTTGAAAGCAGGAGATATTTCTTGTGATTTCCATGTTGTTGGCTGGGGAAGATAATCATGTTTTGTTCAGTTGAAATCAACAGTTAGATTCAACAGTAAAAAGAAAGCATTCGAACAAGACATACTAAAATCTGAATGATAAAAGCATTTCAGAATAATGTTTTTCCTCTACATGAATACATTATTTATAATGAAGTTTCAATATTACTTGTAGAAATGTTACTTTTCCCATCACAGGGGGCTGCACCAAGTGCACTGGTTTCAAAAGTTCCTTTACCTGCTCGTGTGGGAGTACACACAATGACCATCGCATGATTGTGGAAACAGCCCAGGAGAGGGAGGCACGCGGACATCCATTGGGAGATGCTGTCCCTTTTCAAGCCATGGGAGGCATCACTGGATTCTCTTCCCTTGCCGAGGGCTATTTAAGACTTGACCCCAGTGGCCGAGGTAAATGGGTCCAGTAATAGTAACATTCATTTAGAAAAAATGAAAGGACTCGTAATAAATATATTTTTGCAATGCCATTCATTCTCATTATTTAGCCAAAATGAAAATGTCAAGGATATAGGAGAGGGGATGAGATGGGGAATGTTGTTTATTCAATAACATCCCCCTTCCTCGTGTTATATTTCATAGACATACACAGTGACAGAGTCAAATTTTGTACAAAGTATTCAATTTTTTTCTTTTAGTACATCTGTCATCATGTGCTGTTATGCAGTTCGGAAAATCATGTTTATTTTTCAAATGTGAGATACAAACTGGGGCCCGAGAAACTCACTACTTACTTGGGATATAAGATGTGGCCTGAGAAGCTCTCTTATACTCAAGTGAGATATAATATTTTCCTTGAGAACCTCTTTTATACTCAAGTGAGAGATAAGACTTTGCCTGATAATCTGTCTTAAACTCACACATTACCATACACTTGTTATAGTGAAGGGGTGTCTTCTCCAGAAATCTTGAGCAAGGATTGTTAGAAAACTGGTCATTATTCTTGCTTGTTAAACTTTCTTATAGAGTTTGTTATCAAGTGAAATTGTATTGTGAATTCAGAAATAGATATTGACATATTTTCACTATAAACCTGTTCTTAAGCCAACTTTAAAAAAAAAATATTTCAGAAGAACAAGTGGGGTGGTCAACTTATAGGTTATTTTTATAATTTTCTACAGGTAAATTGAAAATCGAATAGTTCTTTAGATTGATGAGGTTATAGTCACCTGTGCATTCTACATTATTCAAATACATTACCAGAAGATTTAAATATTTATAAAAACCTACATTTAACTTAATTATTTATTGATTTTCTTCTTTAAATAAAAGAAAGTTTTGACATGTTGTACAAATGTTATTGACAATTTTTAACTCATGCGGTTCCAATATTGTTTAACACATTACATAAAAAAGATATTGGAAGGAGATGGTGCCACTATTCAGTTGTTTTTAACATCAGCATAATCTCACTCTCGATATCCTTTGGTACTCGATTGCATGCACTGACATATTATTTTATGGGGTTGCCTTATTAGCGGGATATACTTTTTTCAGGCTTTTGCCACTGTCAGGTATTATTTATTTGTGCTTGGGCTGTCAAACATCTGTGGTTTGCAGTATTTCAAAGCTATTAGATGTCTGGTTGTTGCTGAAGTGCTTGAGTGACGGATGCAGCATGGTTGGGTTGGCGAATATCAAGTAAAACTCCAACGCCAAGTTAACAAGCTTGAAGAGTTCATTTTCACTTGTACATCAGTTCACAATAGTATAAACTAGGATTGACTATAAATTAACACATCAGGTCACAATAATAGACTAGACTTGACTATACATGAATAACGAGAGTTTTCTCAGCTGACTAATACCTTCTAAAAAGGACTTTCACTCTATTCAAATACTCTACGAGGTCCAGTAATCTCAAGCCCTCCACATATCTCTAATAGCTCCCTCTCAATTTTTCTGTAAGTCACAGTATATTAATACCCACTCATTTTTAGACACCCACACAGCATTAAACCAATGGACCCAAACGAAGTTGGACATGGAATTTTAAACAGCTCAATTGAACTATTTATTATGCATTGCCTGACATCTTTCGACCAATGCACTCACAATTTCTTTATAATTACAGCAGTTCACAGCTCACTTGACGTATTATTAATAAAAAAAATTAGCCAACCCATTGACCTTGATATCATTAAAGAGAGATCACTACAATAAAAATTCACTCATAATTCCATGACCTTGACAGCCATCCAAAACAAGGGGGTTGGGTTATGAATAAACAGGCTTTAGAATGAGCACCTATGGTAATTTTATTGTGTCCCCCGACAAGGACTTGAATTGTAGTTTGCATTAACAAGTTTTTTTTTCTTGTTTGTCTTTAGGTGCTCCATCAGAGGAGTTTCTGAACCAGCCAATCACAGCTCTAGACAACCCTTTCCTCCGAGCTAATGTTAACTCCATCAAGGCACATCAGCTTGCCAGAAAGGGAGGGAATTGTGAGTTTTAATTTTAGTGAAATTATTTGCCCATTGTTGTATTGGAGTTTTTTTTATAAGAACTGTTTCCGTATGCGTTATAAGTGTAAGATGTCTGAAATTTTATTTAAAATCAGCTAAAAATTTTATGGATATGGGATTCCTTGTGGTTTGGAAAGTCATAGGCATTGCCAAATTTTCCTTATAATTACTTATTATTTTAGATAATTCTTTAAATTAACTAAAAATAAACTGCCTGATTGATAAGCTAGTTTTGCCCTGAGAGAATGACAAACAAACATGATTTCCATTGGTTTAAAATTTCTTTTTTTATGGAAGGTGAGGTAAATTGATGTGGATGTTTCATTTTGAGGTGCCTTACTTTTATATTGAGAGTTAAATGTCTTATATTTAGGTAAATGTCTTATATTGAGGTAAGTGTCTTATATAATGAAGAAAATTTCTTATGTTGAGGAAATGTCTTATATTGAGGTAAAATGTCTTAAATTTAGGTAAATGTCTAATTTTATGTTCACCCAATGCAGCCAATGGCAGTGGTAAGTAGAGTGAAAGTAATACATTTTCTTGCATGTCTTAACCCTTCATGTTGTCTGCATGCTTGTCTGCATGTTAATAGATGTGATGAAATGAACCACTGGTTTTAAAAAATCAAAGTTAATTTTGTCAGAAGTAATTTGATCCACTTAATCCCTGAAGTGACTTCTCCATCTTTTTTACTGGATTTTAAGTTGGCAACACATGAAACCTCATTTTTTTCTTTCTAGATATGTTCACAACAATCTTTCCAGTTTCTTTTTAACTTATACTATTTCTATAACTTTGGAATGGTCAAAATGTTACATTTAATTCTTGCTTAAAATTAAAGTGTTTGGTCAATTAATGTGGAATACAGTCCAGTGCTGTTCCTGAAGATAATATGAGAATGGAATTTCTGAAATTTGTTTTTGGATGTATTTCATTAGGTCATTCTGACTTTGCATCCTTCATATAACTCTTATCCTATTTAATAATGTGACAACATTGCTTGTTTTTAGTTCAGTAAAAATCTGTTGACTTTTTAGGGGGTTCCTTGTGGAAGGCATAATTAGTCAAATTAAAATATCAATATCAAGGAAACATATTTGAACTCTTGATAAAACCTTATGAATCCAAGCAGACCCTTTACATGTAGAAAATATAGACCTAATTAATGTGAAGTGTTAAATCTACCATTTGGCTGCTATGTTCTTCTTAATATAGAATGCACTTTGAATAATGAAAAGTCACATTCATAAATCTATTCTGCATTTATATGACTTATGTAGTTTAACTAAAAACGTCAAAGCTATTAATATTTCATCCTCATGTTTTGAAGAAATATGGCACATGAATCCCAGCCACAATGATTTATATAGAGTTTAAAAAGTCATTAGAGCCTGATTGTATGGTTTGTAAAAAGTAGAAATCCCCTCAAGTATATGGTAGCCTTACAGAGTAAATACCTGTCCTTTGTTTGATTTTTTTCTAACATTTTCATTATAGCTTTTAAATAGTTTCACAATAAGTTCTTATGACAGATTAGAGATTGCTGTGGTGTGTTAGTCATTTTTTTTCTGAGACATTAACTTCTCTGCTGGAAATTATAGTTTTATTTTATCAATTCAAAGTTAATGACTTGTGTCCTGAATGCATCTAAAATTTACTTTGAAATTGTACAGCCCAAGTATCGATCCCTTAATCATACAGATTTGTGGATATATTACTTGAGTAGATTTGACAACATTTTTGAAATTTTAGTGTTTAATCTATAAGTTTGATACATAATTTTCATGAAAATTTAGAGTTACTAAAAAATTGCATTATTTACTATTGTATTTTGACAGCTTTGACTGGGCCTGAAGATCCTGTGTTTGATGACATCGAAGAGAGGATTTCTGCTGTTAAGAAACCTGGAGAGTCTGATATGGATTACTATGAAAGGAGATACCAGGAAAGGGTCAGTAGTAGCCTTCTTGGAAGTTTTAGGAAGAAACAAATCTTTCATTAAAATTTTTGTAGACACCTTTTGGAAAGGAAAAAAAAAAGTTTTTATGAAATGCTTTAAAGTTTTGTTTTGTAGGGTGTTATCCTTTTAAATTTTTTATTCTTGGTCTGTGTTATTTATATCTGTTCAAAATCATGCAGCTTTATCCATAGATCATCATTTGGTAATATTTATGATAATGGAGTACTCTTATTTTAATATATCTGCACTGACAAATATTAGGCATGTTAAATATTTCTGTCTCTTGGCTGCTCTCTTATATTTAACTAAAATATGTGAATTACATTTTGGTACTCAATTGTATTGGTTGACAGGATTAATTAGCATACATTTGGTTTTCAAAACAATCAACAAATGAAATAGCCTATACATTGTGCACAAATGGGACATGTGGGTATTTCAATCGATGCTAATTATTTAAAAAAAGAAGAAACAAACACATATGAAACAAATACGCACAAAAATAAATAAATACCAGAATCTTAACTTGTTTGTACATTAGGCCAGTCACCATGTTGAAATTACTTTAACTTAATACATTATGTAACAAAGGATTGCACCAGACATGGCAAAAAAAAACACATTAAATTACACTGCCTCTTATATTATTGAAGATTATGAAAAGTTGAAACCAAGACCTAAGGAAGCTTGATGCTGAACATTCATTATATTTATGTACCAAAAAAAATAGCGTGTCCAAAATGTCTGGATATTTGCCTAGTCTCTTGTGTCCAATGACAGAATGCCACTATTAGAAATTTTATTTAAAATTATGCCGAATCAAACCCTTTAGTGTTTTTTTTTTTCCTCAGAAAAAGCTTGAAGAACAAGCTAGAAGAAACCCCATTCCCAGTCCTTACAATCAACCGAGTGTGAAAATGGGTGCCAGGAAAGCCATTGAACCATCCACTTCTAAAGCTAAACCTGGTGCTGTTGTAAAGCCACAGCCTGGCCCTTCCAAACGTTAATCTTTAGAACAGCTGCCAAGTTTGTCACTGTTGACATTATTTCAGCATCTCAAACAGGTTTTTGTTATGATTCTAGTACATTTATCTAAAATTTGTGACTGAAAAATTATACATTCCATTATTTAATATTTGGTTTGTAATGTCAATGTTTAGTAGCTTTATACATAGAGTCTAGTAAATATTGACATTTTTTTTTTAAAATCACCAAACTGTGTAACTGTGATATTTTGGCAGAATTTGCCAGAGCAAAGTAATTTGTACAATATTTATTTTTGTGATTTCCTAAAAATACAGGGACAAATTTGCTTTAAGTTGAAATAAAATGTGAATATTAAATATATATCTATGAGTATGGATAAATTAAATATTATTTAGCTTATATATTCTATGCTCCTGCTGTTCAATATCTAAAGAAAAAAATTATCAGATTTTTAAAGTGTTGCTTATAAAGTAGGAATGAATTAGTGGCTATCCATAAAGTATGTCAAATTGTAACACTATCCTGTCACAAATCTCAGACCTGAACCACTCACTAAAGAGTGTCACTTTTTTTAACTAATTAAAATTTCATCTAAAACACGCTTCACTATCAAACTACCGCATATTAACTTTACCAAAGTAAAATCTTCTGTTAGAATACATCCATCACAACAGAAATTGCAAACTCACTGTCTATTTCAGATTTTATATGAATGATAAAAAATAAAAATTTGTCACGTCACATAAGATCTTTACACACACCACCACCCCCCCTCCCCCCAACAGTGTCACAAACTGTCACGGTTTCTAGACCCCTACCTGAACATAACATACTTTAAGGATGGCCCCTTATATCAATAATTTATTTCATTAAATAAACTCATGACTACTTCGATTAAATAATTAACATGGCAATGATTTTGAATATAACTCAGGAATAATTCTTTTTTTTTTATCACTACATTTTAAAATTATTTTTCCTTATTCTATATAAATGCTTTAGATGTTTAGAGATATGAAAGGTCTTTACTCTTATATGACAGGTCTTTACTCTTAAATGACTCTTGTTTCTTTGATCAAATTATTTGACTCAGTGACCTCTATTTTAATTTTTCAGTTTTTATTGTTTGTGTCTAACAACAATTTGAATTTGATGTTTGTTTTATTGGGGTGGGGATGACTTTAACCTGTAATTGTGCTATGATAACTATTAAAAAATGCTGATATACATTTTTGGAGACTCAGGCCTTATTAAACCATTTTTGAAATACATTTATAGTAATACGGGTCTAGTTAACCTTTTCATCCAAAAGACTTATAAACCTTTTTAGGTGTGAACAGGTCTTAAATAGGTCATTAAATAAATACTGCATTTCTTGGCCTGTAGCAGGATTGTCAACTCAATTAAAATAAAATTTTACTGACGAATTTTTAAAATCTTAAATATTTTTAAGGACAAACATATTTTTGAATTTTATTGAAACATTTTTAAAAATAATTAAAAAACTATGAAGCTTAAAAAAATTAAAATATCCATGATGTATGACAAACCCTATCTATGTCATATGACACAAAATCCTATATCTAGTATTAATTTTGTGTATGTTATTCTCATCAGTGATTAATTTCTCCTGCTTATGATCATACAAGTTTAAAGCAAACAAGAAAAAAAATCTCAAAATCTTAAAATTTCAGTTTTTGGCTACCTTCAATTTCATTTTTTTTTTTTTTTTTTTAATTTTTTTTTTTTTTCTTTTTTCTGATAATTTTTTTTTTTTTTTTTTTTTTTTTTTTTTTTTTTGTGGACATTTTACGGACAAGTCATTTATGTCATTTTTTTTATGTACTGTCCGTAAATGCACAGGCCATTGTCAGCCCTGGCTTGTACTACTATGATACTTGATGTTTTTAAACAAAAGCAAACGCTCTCATTCTCTTTTGACTTTATAGAGCTTAACACCTTTTTGCCAATTTTTGAAATAAAAACTCTTTTGATTATCTTTAATGTATTCATAACAACTCATTATTTGACAATAAAAACTATTATACTAAAATTAAGCATTATTTTATTTTTAAAAGTTAAACACAAAGGACAACCTGCTCACCAATTACTTAATTTATTTATTATATTATGTATTAGTCAACATACTGATAGGAAGCTAAGTGGGACACATTACATTAGTCAACATGCTGATTGGAAGCTAAGAGGGACACATTATATCTTATTGGAAGCTAAGAGAGACACATTATATTAGTCAACATTCTGATTGGAAGCTAAGAGGGACACATAATAAAGTGGGAAGGCTGCTGCAATTCATTTTTTTTTTCTCTTTACATTATTCATTAGTTCTTCCATGCTAAATATGGTGATATGAAAACTTCCTGTTAAACTAAGAGTGATATTATAGGACTAAGACTTTATCATACATTGGTGCTGAATCAATCGATCTGGGATCAGACATGTAGTATAAGCTTTTTTATTTGTTTGAATTATTTTTGTTAAATATTTTGACAAATTCTCAACAATTTAAAAAAAATTAAAATGTCCATATTGTTATGTAGCCTACATGTATAATTTTAACCAAAGCTAATTGTAAATGCTTTTATCAAAAATAAAATATGTTAGACTCTGTCAAGCGTGTTAATGTTTTCCTAAATTTACTGTTAAATCAAACTTAAACCTAGGTAATTATTCAATATCTATCCAAATTATGCTGAAATATTTCTTTGAATAATCAGTCATCTAATATTTTTCTTGTGTTTAAAATTTTAGTGAAGACGAAAAAAAAAAATCTTTTAAGGTCTCTAGATCTTCTTCTCCTGTGCTATATTTTGAGGGTCTATTATCAATGTATTGATTGATCATTCTAGATATTAAAATATATTGCAGTTGGTTGGTCTTTTATTCTAAGTTGATTCCAAACTTTTCACCAATGTCTAATTTCAAAAAAACCTATGCCATTAAACAACTTCTAATTTTAAAAAAAGTTTGTTTATGGCCAAAGTTTTCAAATTTGAGGAAAATCCATTTACTAAACAAGCAGTTTAATCACATTACAATTCAAGAATGTGATGTAAAACAAATGTTCAGCCTGCCGACAAGTTGAGTCACTTAGTTAAACTTTTGGTGTGCAGTAAATGACATATATTCTTTGTTAGATAAAATATCAGCCAAGTCAACAGAAAATTGAGACATAAAAAATATGAATAATTTTATGACCACGAGCCACCCATTTTTTGTGTGTTCTCATTAGATGAAAATCCTTTCAAAATTTTTTTAAAAAAATCATTTCAAGCTTAAAATATTACAATTGAAATTGGGTCATATTGCTGGGACAGAAATCTATGTCAACTACTTTGTCATACTAACCAATATTCTTTGTCTTGAATGGCCAGCTTGAAACTATTCAACCATGCAAGAAATAAAGTAGAACGTGCAGGCTTTTTGTCTATAAGGTTGTATGACAATAGAAATGAAGTATTTTTTCTCAATGGTCAAGCTAGATAAAATTCATTGATTTGATGGTCAAGCTAACCTAATTTCATTAAAAATGGTCAAGCTAGACACATTTCATTGACTTGATGATCAAGCTAGCCATCATTGACTTGATGATCAAGCTAGCCAAATTTCATTGACTTGATGGTCAAGCGAACCAAATTTCATTGACTTGATGGTCAAGCTAACCAAATTTCATTGACTTGATGGTCAAGCTAACCAAATTTCATTGACTTGATGGTCAAGCTAACCAAATTTCATTGACTTGATGGACAAGCTAGCCATCATTGACTTGATGGTCAAGCTAGCCAAATTTCATTGACTTGATGCTCAAGTGAACCAAATTTCATTGACTTGATGGACAAGCTAGCCAAAGTTAAATGACTTGATGGTCAAGCTAGCCAAATTTCATTGACTTGATGGTCAAGCGAACCAAATTTCATTGACTTGATCATCAAGCTAGCCAAATTTCATTGACTTGATGGACAAGCTAGCCAAATTTCATTGACTTGATGGTCAAGCTAGCCATCATTGACTTGATGGTCAAGCTAGCCAAATTTCATTGACTTGATGGTCAAGTGAACCAAATTTCATTGACTTGATGGACAAGCTAGCCAAAGTTAAATGACTTGATGGTCAAGCTAGCCAAATTTCTTTGACTTGATGGACAAGCTAGACAAATTTCATCGACTTGATGGTCAAGCTAGCCAAATGTCCAGGTCACTGATAGAAGTTCAAAAGCCTGGTTGATTCTTAAATTCACGTATAGAAGCTTATAGTTTCAAGCACAACGCAACAGTTGTGGAGAAGCATTTCGTGTCCTGGTCATATCTCAACATCCCCTCATGAAGGTTGCCAGTGTTCAAAACCCGCCATGACCATCAAAACCCATTAAATATTTCCCCTTATAATTGCCCCAAAATATTAAATTAAATTTATTTTCTACCAGTAGCTGAGCTTCTTTCCCCGTTCATAACAACAAGACTAATGGGCCTTAACAATAACATCTACACCAGTGGTTCTCAACCGTCCTAATGCCGTTACCCTTTAATGCAGTTCCTCATGTTGTGGTGAACCCTCAACCATATAGTTATTTTTGTTGCTACTTCATAAATATGCGTTTCCCGATGGTCTTAGGTGACCCCAGTGTAAGGGTCGTTCGATACCCAAAGGGGTCGCGACCCACAGGTTGAGAACCACAGATCTACACAATAATAAATGACTTGAGATTTCATGTAAAATATTTGCAATGTAGAATGAATTAAAAGAGTATTAGCATTAGGGCCTACCGGCCTACCTTAAACTTATGAAAGAAACAAGGTATCAATTCAGTTATACTTTTAATTGTGTTGCTGGCACTAACACCCAGATTTGATGTAGTCATAAATCAATGCAAAGAAATGAAAATTTTGTTGCAGCCATATGCAGGTTATCTGAGGTGAAGAGACTGTCGGACTATACAAACATAACATTTATACTTGTATTACGTACCGCTTTAATGTAGAGGATTTGATCTCTCATTTTACTTTATGGATCAAGTCAAACAGTGCATAACAAAAGACTATACTTATACCATCAATTAAATACATATATAAAGATAATACCCAAACTAGGGCTAATTACAAATAATATTTTATTACCTTAATTTAAAAATACACCAAAAAAAAAAAAAAAACAAAAAAAAAAAAAAAAAAAAAAAAACAAAAAAAAAAAAAAAAAAAAAAAAACGATACCAAAACAAAGGCTAATTACAAAAAATATTTAATTAACTTAATTTAAAAATACACCAAAAAAAAAAAAACCAAACAAAAAAACAACAACTAAGACTTACAGTACAGCAATGAACTTGTACCGGTACAATGTTGAAGAAGGTTCACACACACTGCCAAACACAGTAAATATTAATACACAAAATCTATGATCAGTACAACACTCTGTCTCTCTGTTTTTCGCAATATCATAAAATCTCTCTCTAACGCAATCCTGTATCCCTATGTCGATAGGCGAATTTGTAGTCTTTTTTAGAGACTTTTCCAGAAATGGGTTCGGCATTGTATCTGTGCCTCGACTTGTCTCCTACGTTCTAAGGCAGGGGTCTCAAACTCGCAGACCGCGGGGCCATTTGCGGCCCGCAAGACGATATTTAGCGGCCCACTACCTGACAGCTAATTTTAGTGTTAATGCGGTTCGCGCGTTTTCCCCATTCTCATATCTATAATGTAACCCTCTGCGACGGTTTCAATCGAATCTCACCGACTTGTCTTATTCTGATTTTTATTATATTTCTATATATTTGTAGGTTGATTATAATGGTTAGAGCCGCTGTAAAATCGGACTAACAGTTTTTATTTTAAAGCATTTTATGAGACAAAAATGGCTAAAATGTGGGGTTTTGAGGAAAGTTTAAAAAGTCAGTTAGTGGGTAATTCACAACCATAATTTTGTAAATCGTAGCAATCTGACACAGTAATCAAAGAATCCCTATTAAAATTGCCGCTATTGTTTAGGCGTGAGGGAAATTCCGAGCCTGTCAGCTTGGTCACTTTCAAAATAGGGTTAGTCAAAAAGGCCTTTTTACGATAAAAAGAAATCAAAATTCATTCTCCCTACAATAGCATCTTCCTTCGTATCAAAGAATGTATAAATATTGCCTGCTTCTGCCCACTGTTTGAACCAGTTTTAGCATTCAAGCCTTCGTGAAGAAGGATGGGGTGGTTGTTCCCTTACAAGTGATCCCAAATGGCTCGTGGACTTGGCTTTTCTTGTTGACATTACTACAGACGTGAATGTACTCAACAAGAAGTTACAAGACCTGGGGCAGCTTGTCAGTGTTGCCTATGACAATGTCAGGGAATTCTGCACACAACTTGTGTTATGGTTCTGAGAGAACCATTTCCCAACATGCAAAGTACTCATGGACTCGGGCACAC